TTACTATTGAATAGGACGAGACATACAGTTAATTTTCTATTTTCATTTCATTATATAAAATGAGTCTTTCTCGAACTTTTTTTTAAGGTCAAGATAAGATTAGTTGTGAGTCTCTTTCACGTTTCACAATCCACTAATATGGTATTGCTGCAGATGACTTGTTGAAATTGAATCTCATGTAATAAATATTTTTCGAAAATTGGATTAATTTCTTGAAAGAATCAACGGTGTCATCTTTCAATTTTTTATTAGAAAATTATGTTCAAACTCCATACATTATCTTATGACAAGTAAAAGTTGAATTGGGTCAAACAAATCAAACTCACATTTCCTTCCCTCTACTTTTCTCTCATAATTAGAATCTTCTTAAGAACAAGGAAAGTCTTCTAAAATGTTTGAACGCAAAAATCCCAAATTCATTTGCAATTATTCCTACCAAAGAATTTTTTGCTCATTCAGACATGACATATTTTCCCTAATTTAACACTACGAAAAGCTCGTCACCTACTCTATGTTTAATCGATATGAAATTTAATTTATTCACACACGGTAAAAATCACATGATTATGAATTAATCAGCAACTACGAGAAAAAATCTTGTGGGCAAACATGGTTGAGGAAAACATGCACCCGCTGACCCGGAGTAATATACGGCGCCACTGTATAAATAATATTTTTTTAAAAAAATAAAATTTGCTCCCTCCAAATTATTTGAATTACCCACTAACAAATTGGTCAAAAAGCGAAAAACAAAAAATTAAAAAGGTTAAAATTTGGCGGGTATTTTTAGAATGAGCTGTCATCCACGTGTCAAAATATCTTTAATCTCAGCTTTTGTCCCTTCGACTAAGCAGAAGCCGGATGAATTTAATTATTTTTATTATTGGTCCATCACGACTTATTCACAATGAGATATGTGCGGTCCAGTCGACAGATTCGACTTTGAGGATTATGTCCCACTATCATTCAAGATTTAGCGGGAAGATTGCCAAACTATTTAAAATGTCAACCGTGAACCGCCATGACAACTCCCTTAACCTCGCCGTCAGGGTCGTGGTGGTGGTGGTGAAAAATTGCCTCTTGTGATTACGGTGAAAAAGTATCCATTTATTGTTTTCTCATTATTTTTAAAAAATATTTTTTTTTCCTTTTATTTTTAATTTCTATTATTCAATAAAATAATATTACAAGTAAATTTAAAAAAATTCTTATTTTTTAGCTACACATTCTTCAATAAAATGTTATTCCAAAATATATTTTGGACAAAATATGAGGCTAAAAAAGGCGCTAAAATCGAGAGTATTGAATATTACTCATAGGGTCACTTGTCCAATTAACCATTAGTGAGATGGCTAAACGATACCCACAACTCGAATTTTTGATTTAGTCGATCAAGTCGTCAAATTATTTATAAGTGGGAGAACAACATCTAAACCCTTCAAGTTCATGATAGTGGACCAATTCTCTCTACACAAGTTATTATGTTCCTAAAAAATGGTGTTATCTACCTTATATATACAAAGAAACAAACAATTTGATCAACTAACCTACACACGTAAAGGGTACACATAAACTTCTACTGCTCAATCAATCATGCAATTTCTAATAGGTTGAGTTGTCCAGCTAACCATCTAGTGATTGACGAACTGAAATTTTAAGTGATGAATTACAGACATCCTAACGATTCGATCTACTTCAATCACTAAGTCATTTACAAGTATAAGAGTTATCTGTAAAGAAATCTCAAAAAAGTAGAATACGAACAAATAAGGACGTTCTACCATCAACTACCTATTACAAAAGGATGACGTGCAATTCTCTCATCTAACATACACATATTCAATTATGTATTTAAAGACAATCTTACCAATTGTTTCACCTACCTCACCAACATTGTCGAAGTTTACTGCAAATTTTATAGTTGTAGAATCCCGTGTCAACATTAATATATAGTAAATTCGAATATATAATTTCACAGTTATCTTACAGCGTAAATTTTAAGAGCGTGCATGAATACTACTAGAACATGGTTTGGTGGTGTGTCATATTGCAGTGGGTGTGAGGGAAAACAGGGCAACACCAACACGTACAAGCGTTTCGTACATGGCATGCACGTGATTAATGGTCCCCATGTTTCCCGCGCATTCTTACAACACGCTTTTAATACTAAATTTAAAAAATAAGTGTGTGTTCCCACGATTTGTGTGTTTTCATGTCATGCTCGTTTAGTTGCTTGTCATGACCAATTAAATATTGTCACGCAATGGCATAATCTTATAATATGATTTTGAATTTAATTCGATTTAATGAAGTTAGGTAAAGGAGTAAAAAATAATTAATGTTATAAGAATTGGACAGTTGTAGATCGATTAAGGAAAATTGAGAATTAGTTGGAAATCCATTCTAATCACGTAGGGAAAATCAGAAATATCAAAACCCATTAATAATTTTATGATAAGTCGGCCGATTTCCACATCAATTTTTAGAACATTTTGTTTTGGCAAATTAATTTGCTCGATCCTACCTACAAAATATTTTAGACTCGTCTTATATTTTAGTTTTCGATGTGCAGTATTAAAAAATATTGAACATTATTATATAATAATATAGATGTTTCTATGTGATATCAAATATATATATATGGAGTAAGATCTAAGTAGAAATATAAGTATGATCTGCAGTTGCACCTTTATGGTGAACATCTGTACCAGAAAGTGCTCTACTAATTATATAATCCGTCCGGGGTTGCAGTAATTCACAACAAATTCAAAAGTCAGACCCCTTGTTGAACATATTGAGGTATTGTGTGAGCTATAATACCGTGATTTGTTGTAGATTTTGTTTGTCATGTAGATATGTTTATAAACCAGATTAGTAATCTCTAGCTAACCTACCAATTTTCCCAGAATGAAAGGGAATCAACTTTGTAATTTTACTTAAAATGTAGAATAAAAAACTGTAATGCATTTAATTAATATGGATAGAATCAATCGCTTATTCTTGCAAGTTCCCATTCTATCAAATTAAAATATGTTTAAGATTGTAATTTTTTTTTTTAAATAAGAGAAACAATAGCCAATTATCCAAAATAATCAGGTAAAACATTTACCGAAGGTCAATAAAAGAGTAATTATTATTTTAGGTAATTATCCAAAGACAAAATGGTTATTACAAAATCACTCATTTCAATTACATCTTTTTATTATAAACTTCTAAAGATTGTATTAGATTCTAACACCACCTTTCACTCATAATCAAATTAGGTAAAATTAATACTTCCAAAATTCAAAAATGTAAAATTATTAACCAAGGTTTACTTCATGAATACTTTTTGCACATCACGAGCTATGAAAATTATCACGTTATTGCTCATTTGACCACATAACCTTTTAATTTTACATGATAGTACGCGCTTCTACAATAAAAAATAATTTTTTTTCTTTCTATGTTGTGTTTCAACTTTCGAAATCATTATAAGATGTCAAACGAAATCGAAATATTGCATTTTTAATACCATTTCGAAGTGCTCACGGTCTAATTTTTTATGTCGTTAACGGCGTGCGAAACGATCAATCGTAACAAATGTTACGACTTGTCAATATAGGCGGTTTAAAATTAGTATTTCGAGAATTTCGATAACATGCTATTTTAAAAATTCCCCGATGATCGTACGGTAGTTGAATTAACAAATCGCTTATATCATCTCAAAACTCGTTTCGAGGACTACATTATAGGCATATCGAATAATTCAAACTTCAAACAGATATAAAAAATAGTTAAAAATGCATCAAACGTACGTCTTAAAAAGAGACGTTTAACTCGCATTTTTTAAAAATATTTAATTATTTCATTAATATTTATTATTTTTGTGATACAAATTTCTTAATGTAATTTGCATTAGTTTATTAGGAAATTTATATGGGATATGACATAAATTTTTTTCAAAATTTTACATTCGAAAAAGTTATATTTCATGTAAATTTTTGGATGCAAAATTATATGGGGTATGAATTTTTTGAATGTAAATTTTTTATTATAAAAATTCTCCAAACTTTTTTGCAAGTTCAATTGTGCTCACTAACTTTAATTGTCTGCGTCCGCCCTGATCGTCACTCGCATATAATGAAGTATTATAGTGAAAACTATTTGTATCCTTTCATTATTTCGAAAATAAAGTAAGAATTTAGGTCAAAACAAGAAAATTGAATTACAAAAGCTGGCCATCAATGTAAAAAGTTACAAGAAAACCGGCCGAAAACAAATGACAAGAGAAAAGCCAATACATGCGGTTGTTGTCACTTGTCACGTTCGAACGTCATCATTAACGCCGGGTCGGCAAATCCTCACCCTTGATTTTCAAGTTACCCCTTAATTATCTCCCAAAGTTACATATTAACCCTTTATTAATTCATTTAAACACAAAAAAATTAGTTAAAAAATAGTATGCTGTGACCCACCCATTGCACCCGCCACACCCACCCGTCATGGGAACAGCTATCCATTGAGTCATATGCACGCAAAGCACAAATTCACCAGTCCACGTTGCTGTCCACGCTGGCAATCTAAACGGCTCCCCAAAGACATGGGATAAAAAGACGCGTGTCAAATTGGGGGCAAAGGGTAGTTGACTTGTGAGTGATGAAGAAAATGAAAAGAATAATAAAAAAAAAAAAAATTTTTTTTTGAAAATTAGGTCAGTAGGGGCAGTTAATTCGGGCAGCTAGATTAGTTGGCGCGTCAAACGCGTGAAATTCAAAGTAAAAAATTAATAAACTATTACTGATTAATATATATAAGAATAATGCCTCCTTTAGGAGGAAACCCAAAGCTTTTGTTTTCACCGAAAGTTTTAGATAGAGAAAATCTAACCAGCACAAATTCTAGAGAGAGTGAGAGAGGATAAGGGTACAAATTAATTCAGAGAGATTTTACTAGGGTTGTAAGAAGTGAAATTTTCGATTTCGTTTGCGATTTTAAGAGAAGAAGAACGAATAAGAAGTATGGAGTGGACATGTGTAGATGAATATGAGAAGCTTCTCTTTCGAATGTCTACCCCAAGGTTAGTATGTGTTTGTTTTCTTCTTCTCTGTCTGTTTGAGTTTCGGTTTCCATTTTCAACATTTCCTTTCAATTTTTTTCCATATTTTTAAAGCTTGTTGTTTAATTCTCTTAGTTTTTTGCTGTATTTCTTTGGTTTTCTTGAATTTGAAGTTTTTTTACTACGTTTTTCATGATTTTCTAACTACTGCAATTCGCAAGCAAGGATTAGGTTCTTCGATTTTTCCCTTCAGAACAGAATTTTTTTGCTCAATTTGAGGGAAAAAAATGAATTTTATGATCATAATAAAGTTGTTGGGTTTTTATTTATTTGTGGTACTTTCCCTTTGAATTCCCCCAAATATTATCCCATATCATACCTCGTGATTTTAATTCTTCTGGATTTCCCAATCTTATTAGGGGCATTCCATTTGGCAACTTTCTTTGACAAAAAATAATCAGTGAAGATCCCACTTGATTTTCACCTTGATTAAATTGAACTTCCTAATTAATTACACCGATTTCTTTTTCTTCACGTTAATCTGACTTTTTCTCTTCTTTGTTCACACATCACCGAACTTTTCAGTGACCGTGTCTGAATTTCATATTCCCCTGAATGCCCTTTCGCTGACTAATTCTCCATTGATTTTTCAGGGTCATGATCGACAATGCCAGTTGTGCAGACGCGACCATAGTCATGGTATGCTCCCTTCTTAGAAACCCACCAAATCTGTATTAATTATTTAATTATTTGTGTTAATTCTTGTTAATTTTATAGATTGATAGTGCTAGAAAACATGGGATTCTTCTTGAAGCTGTTCAAGTTCTTACTGATTTGAACCTTTCAATTAAGAAAGCTTACATTTCTTCTGATGGTCGGTGGTTCATGGACGGTAAGCTACTTTTTTTGCTTGCGCCTTCAAGCTTGTGGTTTATTAGCATTTAATCTTTAATTAATGGGAGCGGTTTCTTTGGTTTTCTACTCATTTTTCCGTTTCGTTTTCTTTCATTTTACAGTTTTTCATGTGACTGATTTGGAAGGAAACAAATTAACTGACGAAAGTGTCCTCAATTACATTGAACAGGTAACTATTAATTACTGTGTTTTTCGAATTTTGACCTTTGCATTACTGTGTTATGTATGTATTGGGCTGATTGCATCTGTTTTACTGTTAATACAGTCTCTTGGGACAATTCATTATGGTAGATCGAAAAGCTTCGAGGGACTTACAGCATTAGAGTTGACAGGTACTGATCGAGTTGGCCTTCTGTCCGAGGTTTTTGCAGTGCTATCGAATTTACAGTGCAATGTTGTTGAAGCTAAAATGTGGACACACAATGGTCGGATAGCATCCTTAATTTATGTTAAGGACAATGATTCTGGATCCCCGATTGAGGATTCAAAGAAAATTGATAGAATCGAGGCCATGTTAAGGAATGTTCTCAAGGGCGACAATGATATCCGTAGTGCCAAAACATCAGTTTCCTTGGCTGTTACACATACAGAAAGGAGGCTTCATCAGATGATGTTTGCTGATCGTGATTACGAGAGGAAGCCGTGTAGCACAACTCGCGATGAGTCCCTGGTTGTAGCAGTACAAAATTGTTTGGAAAAGGGTTATTCTGTTGTGAATATTCAGTGTAAGGACCGGACGAAGCTTCTGTTTGACGTCGTTTGCACATTGACGGACATGCAGTATGTTGTTTTCCATGCTACGATTAACACGGCTGGAGACAGAGCCTCCCTGGTATATAATTTTTCAACTTAGTATATTAGCTTCGTTTCATGTTATTTTTTTAAGGGAAATTTATGTAACTTGCTATGAATTTTTTTCAGGAATTTTTCATTAGGCACATGGATGGAACTCCGATTAGTTCAGAAGCTGAAAAGCAACGTGTGATCCTATGCTTGCAAGCTGCAATCGAGAGGAGGACATCACAGGTGATATTTTGTGCCTTTATTCTGTATTAAGGAATCCCCAAGGTCTTGATTTAGCATGTTTTCTTTTCTCGATTTGTTAGCCTAATGGAATCTTCTTGTCAACAGGGTGTAAGGCTTGAACTTTGTACCGAGGATAGACTTGGGCTATTGGCTGATGTGACACGAACCTTCCGCGAAAACGGCCTAAATGTGACAAGGGCTGAGATATCGACAACATTGGATAGGGCTTTGAACGTGTTTTACGTCACGGATGCACTTGGGAATCAAGTTGATTCAAAGATCATCGAATCTGTTCGACAAAAGATTGGGTTGAGTAAATTGAAAGTGAAGGAATTGCCCTTGATCTATCATCAAAAGGCAGAACGGGAGGAGGCTACGATGGGGGCTGGTGGGACCATGTTGTTATCACTTGGAAGCCTCGTGAGAAGGAATCTATACAACTTGGGATTGATCAAATCTTATTCTTGATTGATCAAAAAAAGGGCATATTCTTTGCTTCGCACAGGTTTTCATGAGCTGGGCATTTGTACATAGTGAAAGGTGTTTAAAGAAAGGGATTTGGTATAGTAGATGTTTGGTTGGTCTAGTAGGTAGACACATACGCATAGAAGGTGGATGATATGGGGCCCACCTCCCCACCGGTTTTCTTTGGGAAAATTGTTTGTTTGGAAGAATTGATTTGAATTTTCAAGACGGAAAATGGAAGGGAAAAAAAAGTGTTGGTGGGTTGTATATTTTCTGGTTCCTTGATAATTAGGTAGTAGCAGTAACAGGAAAAGATTGGTTTCACACGGCATATATTGTACATAATTATTATTTTGTTCAAAGTAAAATATTAGTTAGTCCTAACCCTCACGTTTGACTTGATGTTTTCAACATTTGTTTGATGTTTTTCTTTTACGTTATGATTTGCCACCACGAGAATTCTAATCTATTTTTGTCGTCAACTTTTACTGAAATTGACGTTAAGCTCCATTACTTTTCATTAAATTTTAATTTACTTCTTTTTTTTCTTACAAATCAAGCATCTTTCAATAAAATAATATTATATATAAATTTAAAAAATTTCTTTCTTTTTTAAACACGTCAAGGGGGCCAAATGGGCTCTAACTTTGATATTGGACGATTGTTAATTACTCCTAAAATTGACATTAATTCAATTATATGTTTGGTATGTTAACTTAGACATAACTAATTAGAGTAAATACTTTTTTTACGCATTTCTTTTTGTAGTTTAATTAAATCTCGTTTAATCTCGTCTATCCATAACAAAAATATCACAAAATTCACAATATCAGGGAGAATTGTGTAGTCAAACTTTATTGTGGTAATAGTAAACAAAACTATCTCTCTAGAAATTTCTTCTAGATCCTTGATCGATATAGAAAGAAAGAACTTAAAATTTTACAATTAGTCCCGTTTGTTTCTCATTTTTCATCCGTAAAAATGAAAAATATGACAGTTATCAATCATATCAAGCCATCAATTTTGAATTTTTATATTTTGTGTGGAGTCCAATAAAGACTATATTTTTCATTTTCATTCTATAATAATAAGAATCAAACGGCCCTTTAGTGTACTTAAGTCGCCTTTCCCATCAACATTTAGGATTCTTATGCATCGATTTTTCCTCCGATTTCATCATGCTAGTTTTTGTACTCTTTTTGAAGATTCTAAATGCTGGTTTTTGCTTACTTTGCATTTGTCTGTTTGTTCCAAGACACTTGGGTTTTAGCTTAAACATGTGCAACTAACGTTATTATCTATGCCCACTATTCAAAGAAAAACAAAAAAATTAAATTAATCTAATAGTTTAATTAATTGAAATTTTTTATTATTAATTTAGGTCAAAGGGAGACGGCTCTCTTTTGGTTTTATCCATAGCTAAAGGAAATTGCCACAACTTGAGACACTAGTCTATCCCTGCCAAAACTATATACGCTAGTTGCTACTTCTTGCTTTGGGTTTATCTATTGACTTTTCTTATTTTTATCAAGTTCTTTGTTTTTAATACCAAATTATTTCACTTGTTTGTTGTTTTTGTCATATACACAAAAAATAGACACAACTTGATTGTTTATTTAGTTTTTGAGGTCGTTCGATCCATAATCAATTTGACCAAAATGTATCGCTATCTACACAGTATACGTAAGCATACAATAATACATCATTAATTGTTGTCTAGCTACCTAGATATTAGCATTATTCTTAGTTTCTAATAATAATGAATTTGAAAACTCTAATAATATGAAAATAAAGCTTTGTGAGATTGAGTAACACAAAGATTTCTAAAAAAAATCCACTTTAATTTTCACGTACGAAAGTTTTCACGATGCTTCTATTGTAACACAAGCATCCTCTTTTTTTTTTTATGAAATATTATGATTTTATGTAAATTAGTTCAAAACCTAGACCTATCAAGAAAATCAAGTTGGTTCGAAAAATATTGATTCAGGGATAAAATTAGAAGGATATGAATAATAAGTATAGAATTAGGGGATCGTATTAAGGTAGATTAGGATGTATTTTCCTAATATGGCTCTTCGTGAAATGCCGTGTTATAAAAAAAAATGTATAAAAATTGAAATATGCAAAAATCATGAAAAAATATTATTGCTTTTTACTCGTGTGAATTTCACTTTTCACTTATAAGTAAATTTATGTATTTTAATTCAACTAATTTTTTTATATATAGAGCTTGTTTGGGAGGGATTTTTGAGGGAAGAATTGATTTTGAATAGTGATATTATAGGAAATGTGTGGTTGAAAAAGAAGAAAAAATTATTGATGTGATAGAAAATATTAATTTATTGAAGAATGTGTGGTTGAAAATGAGAATTGATTTACTGTAGAAAAATCTAAATCATTCCCTAACAGGGCCATAATTAATGGGACTCTGCCACTAGGATACAAATAGTCAAAGAATAGCAATAGTACAGTTCAGATTATTCAAAAAAATTTCTTTGGTTTCCTGTTTGAACCGCTATTCCTTTCGTTTTATATATCTATCCACCCGCTATTCCTTTCGTTTTATATATCTATCCACCCGCTAGTGAATCAGGATCAAATTCTAGCAGGAAAAATTACACCTTGTTTATCTACTGTTTGTACAAGATTCAAGTGCTTGAAGTTGAAGATGCTGCACAGAAGCACTGTTGTTGCGTGGATTCTTGCAGTTTGTTGTTTCATTTCGGAGGCGCAGGCGCAGGCGCAGGTGCCTCGAGAAGAAGGTGAGCAGTTGAGTTTCCCCTCATGCTTTGCGAACATGTAGTTACTTTTCCGGTTCCTGGAAGAAAAATTGAATGGATGAGTAAAGGAGAATTCAGATCAGTTTTAATTTTAANATATTTTAAGGTTTAAAAAAGATAGGATGTTTTGCTTTGTTTGAAATGAAGAGAGAAAAAAAAAAATAATAATAATAAGTTCAAAACCACAAAGTTAAGTTTATGTATTTACACAAATGAGATTGGAATAACAATTTCTTAAGTTGCAATATATATCACCTATTAACCTTATCTGACTTTATAAGAATGATTTCTTCCACCCCCTCCCACGACCCTTTTGACCTTCTATTTCAAAACCTAGTGAATAGAGATTTTTTCATTCCGAGCTAACTTGTATATCATCAGTTGAAATCGAAATATCTACAAGATTGAGGTCACAATTTATATCGATTGAAGAAATTGTTAAAATTCCCAAAATGATGCACACCATATATTCTTCGTGCTAATAATCAATAATTACAAAATCAGATAATCTTATATTTAATCTCGTCAATATATGTTTGCGCGCGAGATAAATGCCTTTTCAACAAAGCTGTGCAGTTTATGTTTTTACACGAATGAGATTGGAATAACATTTTCTCAAGTTGCATTAAATATTTATTGTAATTCTAGTAGATATCTTTAGGACGCTGAATTGAACAAAGAATTGAAATTGTGAATTTTGTGAAGACGGAGAAATACAAATACACAATATGCACCGGACGAGACTATAAAGGATCCCAAATCTCATCCTACAAGAGAATGCATGACTATATCATGAATTGAGATGAATAAAACAGGTAACATCTATTTACAGGGACAAAGAGGAAAACCTTTTGATTTCTATTTGATATACGATTCTTGTCAATTCCTTTACATGTAGGCAAGTAAAATTCAATTTGGGATAATAAAAGTACAACTCATGTATATACAAAAATCAGAAGTCAAATCCTAACAATCTCCATTTTGAATTGTTCAAAACCTTCAAATAGAAATTCTTCCATATGTCCCAAATCGAGTAATGTGTCTGCCACAATCACATCTATTCAGCTCTCTTGGTCAGACCATTTGAGAATTTTTTAGTAAACGTTTTCTTCTACAACCACAATTCTCAAAATAGAGAATCAACATACTCCATTGTAAAGAGTGTAGGCATTTAGAAGCAACAACTTCAAAGAGTTTCATGTTGGCTCATGTCGAACTAACTTTTTGAAAAACTATGGTGTAGCTGCATGTTTTGCTATCCTAGAGTTCATTGTTAGAATTTGGGCGTAACCTGAATTTCTTATTAAAGTAATTGAAGAATTCTAATTGAAGTGCAAAAAAAAAAAATTTAGTTTGGAATATTATTGGAGTCCTATGTTAAATTGAAATTCTATTTTAACAGCCTATTGGGAGTTGAAAATTAGTATTGAACTTGAAAAAGAGTTTGGAATAAAGAAAACAACTTTGAGCGAAAAGAAAAAAATGGACAGAATGCTCGGCGCCGGGGGGCCACAGCACCAGCGCCCCAGTTGGTTTTTCTGCCTCGAGCGCTGCAGCGTCGACCTCGGCGCCAGGGCGTCAGAAGTGGGCCGTTCCGGGTTTTTCTCTCCTTTTTCCTTTTGAACTTGGCTTTTTGGTATCCTACTTCATCAATAACTCTATGAGGAAGATTTTGACGTCCTCTACATGTTCTCTATAAGTATTAGACTCTTTTATACAATTTTAATTTTTAAGTGTGGGAAAGGTAATTACTACCTTTAGGATCATTGTAATATTTCTCTATTTTCATTATTTGTGATGCAATAAAATATCATAATTCATCTGTCATCTTTCTTGTATTCTTTAATTCTTTTACTTGTAATCAAATATTTCATTATTATGCTATATAACTTTAACATTTCATTCCGATTGTTGGTTTCATATCAAGTGGTATTAAGCGATACTTGATCCTTGAATTCCCAACAATTGATATAAGAGATTTTGGGTATAATTAACACAACATTCATCGACTATCGAATAAATTCCACCACACCTGCATCATTGCCTAATCAATGCACTTATACAAATTTATAGACCCATAACACATCATCTTCCAAATTTCAATGAGCTACAAATTTCAACAATTGCATTTAATAAACTATAAATTTCAATATTCTACCTCTCAAATTATTCAAATAATATTCTAATTGATTGCCAAAATAACATAAAATAAATAATATT